CTCCACTGTTGCTCGTTGTGACTCCGGCCATTTACCTAACCGCCCAAGGTCACTCATGGCCAGCATTGGTTTTCAGTTTTAGTTCATGCCACCTGACTGTCTTTGATCTAGTCGAACCTCATGCCCATTTTTCTCAAAAAGTTGCGAAATAACCTGTTATTGCTATATCATCAGGTGTTCCCCACTGTTTGTGACATTGTCCTCTTTTTGTGCAATCCGTACCCCCACAAATCCCTCAGTCATGCTCCATTCTGACTGTAAAACTATGATCATGCAAGAAGGTATGCCACCCACAAGTTGGGAATAAACATTATTATTATTAGTAATAGTATTATTATAACCAATTCGAGCGACGATTCCCTCAGGACCTAGGACGATTATTTCCCGGCCGCAACGCTTTAGAGCGACATGTCTTGTACGAAAGGCGGCAAGCATTCTACTCCGTGGATTCCAAGCCGGTTAGACGCAGATCGCAATTATACCCTGTCAAGAATGGTTGTGGTTAGGTCGCTGGGGTAGAACAGAGGCATGCACACAGTTTTATTTAGGCTTCAGACATCATTATTTAGTGACTCGTGGATTCTTCACTTCCATCCCTCAAGGAAATGTTTGTTGGCCAATTTATTCGGCGGTGTCACTTGTACTTGAATAGTAATTTTGTTTCCCATTCCAGGTGTGTTTGTCGGCCTGTTTTTTTATATCCATTAGTGGACGTCTGCTTTAGAGCAGCTCCCCATTTTGCAGACTGCCAGCCAATTTTTTGGGTCCTTTGTGATCGTCTTTCTGGATAATAGCTGGAGTCCATTCCCAGAAGACAATGAATCCCTTTATTAAACTTTTCAACAATGTGACAAAGCAGTGGTCCGTTAAGGACAAATATGGCACCGAATATTCCCCTGAACCGACGCCTCCGTCGAATAGCTCCTTGGAGCGTCAAACACACCTATTACCAGGGTACACAGAAGGGATAACTGGGGACGAGTTGCTCGGTGGTTTTGTGAGATATTGATCATCCTTCGTTGGAAGTGAGGGGAATTGGTGGACGCTGCCGCGAAGAAGAGAATCGGTTTTGCGCAGCGGAATTAGAATGTATGGTGGCGTAAAAATGGACAATCGGGTCTGACTGGGTGACTTCTATGTACAGAACTGTCGCGCATTTCGAGTCAGCTGAGGAGATTTAGTAAGAGTCTGTCGACATCTCGGTGTCAGAGACGTTTGGTACAAACTAAGTTACTGTAAGGGCGATTACGGATGGCTTTTTGAAGCAAACTGACTGTTATTTTACCGCAAGGCTTGTTCGAAAGCCTAAGGCACTTACTGGATAAGCTGTTCAACAATACCTCCCCAGCGTTTGAAGGTTGCGAGTCTAGAGTTTTGCTACCAGAGGGGTTAGCTGATTCAATTGCTGTACGCTGGGTTTGAGTCCAATGCTCCAAAGGGGTTTCTGTGGCATACTTGTCTGCTGCCTACCGTGATGTTACATAAGAATACTCTCGCGGTCATTTGATTGCTGTGAATTGTAGCTTACTCAATACCAAATTTTTAGGACTAGATTTGTTACCTTACGAAAATTCTTGGTGACTATGCATTTGTTTGTTTTTTTTCGGCCTTTTGGTTCGGTTTGACCAGCAAGGTGTCTCTGAGGTCATGTTGAGTTTTCTGTGCTTTGGATGGCAATACCAAGGAACATTTCTTCAGGTGACATTCTCAAGAGGCTCGTTTTGCAGTGAACCGCACCCTAAATCTACCAAACAGCTTCGCCATGGACGAAGTTCATATGGCCTATTTGAACCCAGTCGCTTTCCTTTTGTGTTTGCGTAGACTCCCGGCTTTTCTGCGATCAGCGGGAACAACTGTGTGTACGTAGAAATTTTTTGTACTCTGTTGCCGGTTGTGCAGCTTTGGCTATCGGGACCATGGTTTTACGGCTAGGACCACAACTACGTGGCTGTTTTTACGGAGTGGAGGGTGAGGATCACAGCTTCTCATTTTCAGTGGTGCGTGTAGGTTGCAGTAATTCCCGGCGTCAAGAATAAAGCTTGTGCTTGATCTGTCGGTTGATTCCGCTGCTTTTCCGTGTAAATCTGACTCAGTCTAGCATAGGACTTGTAAATTGTACGTGGATTTTAATGCTGCGTCATTTTGATTCGTTAAGGAAATAAGCAACGGTGTTTCCACAGACGCCTTATGCCTCGTCCGCATAGGGCTCGCCTCCCCATGAGCGACAGTTTTGTCCGTAGTTGGAGAGTATGTGGTGGTTGACTGGAAACTGTAATCCGGATTCACGGCTGGCTGCGACCTCATGCTTTCAAGAGTACATTGATCCACAGCTACCATCGGGTTGGCCCTAAGTTTGGGTCGGCTGGACAGTCACGAAGCGGAAGTCTGTTTTGCAGCTGCTTCGCTCCAGTTTTTGCGGCCCTAGAAAGCTATCCCCGGATATATGCTTGATTTTTTAGCAGGCCTTTTGCAGTCAGACATCCCGAGCTGAGATCCTCTATACGTCTGTTGGCGACGATAGGACAGCTCCTAGCCCATGTTTGCTATCCTTTCTTCCCGTGTAACCACTCTGCTGAAGTGATTCGCATTTAAAGTTTGTGATGAACCCATCAAGAAGCGATCTTGCCTATTTTGGTGGCGCGATTTCTCTTGAGAACGACCACTTAGTCTTAAAAATCCGTCTGTTGGCCACAGACGCCTTCAAACCGGCTAAGGACAGCCGACTTGCAAGTTGAAGCAGTTCCACTGTGCCGAGTAATCCTCTTCATTCAATATATCAGAACTTGAAATTTTTTACATTATCATCTTTTAAATGCTGCATTTGCAAACGAAATAGGGAGGTATGTGGCCAGGTTTGTATTCAGTCATAGTGGCTAGAGCCAGCGAACTGGTCTCAGGTTGGCTGAAAATGCATTCTTGGTCACAATATTCCCCAGAACTTTTGGAACAACTGGAATACAAGATGGCAGCAATTTTAATAGCTTCTTTGAACCCACATTCTCGACTCAGCTCGACCGCGTCCGCCTTTTACAAGCCCAGTAATGGATTTCGGTGAGGGTTGTTCGAATGATGAAATTAAAACTTGAACAATTGTTATTTTTATTGTACCCAACAGCCTACGTCTTGTACCAGTATTTTGACTCCAATGTTTGTTCAGTTGCCGAAGCAACACAGCTTGCGTAAGTTGTGATATGTTTTCAAGAGAGAAATGATTCAATCCGCTTCCATGAAGCCCATGGGTAAGGAACATGCACTGATCTTACTCAATTGATGAAACAACGATTATAAGGTTGCATGGGACATAATGTCCCAGTCCATAGGTGAGGCGAGTTGTACCTGCTTTTAGAACTGACTTGAAGTCCCTGTTACGGGTATTCGCTTTTTGAGTTTGAGTCACGTGTCTATCCAGGAAAACGACCAAGAAATCCGAATTCTGGAATCCACGGTACTATGCAAATACAATAATATACATATTCAACAAACCTCAACGGATTCTCCTCTGCAGATACCGTAGGGTTACAAAAATAAGGCCGCACAATTACCAGCTTGAGGATAAAACGCAGATCAATACGCCTCAAAATCGATATCGTCACAACCAAACAGATATCGACGGCGAGCAACCGCAAAATCACAATGTCCGACCAAAGTACGTAAGAGTTATAAAAATAGTTCAGTAAAACAAGAAGGTTTCAGTTCATCTGGTCAAGGGGAATAAATGTGGGGATTGGCCGTCACTTGGGGTTGGAAACGTGAGTACACTGTTGGCAAGCTGCCTTCTACACCGCCACCCAAAATGCCAGTGGATTTTCCTCCATCAAGCTATGGTCATTCCTGGCTCAAATATTTTACTTACCCCAAATTCCGAGTGGACTTACAGCAGTACGCCAAACGGAACCTGCTCACGCGCCAACTCTTAGTGGTCTCTCTGTATGCGATGAGTTCGAAAACCCATCTCCCACCTGCGGAGAGTTGAGCGCACGGTTCCCGTCTCCTTCCACTACCCCTACTCACAACTCTCTGTCAAACCGATCTTACGCACATCGCTTTTAAGCCTACCATCTCGTGTGCGTACAACTACGGTCCTAACTAAACCGTCGCCTGACGTTCCACATTCATCAACCACACCTACGGGCCACTGTTTCCGAGAGAACGTACCTGATTGCACCAGGACTACGTCCCGTTCCCTGAAGTTCCTTTGAGGTTTCTGCCACTTAGTTCGCTCTTGAAGCAGAGGTACGTATTCCTTCACCCAGCGCTTCCAAAATACTTGAGTTAAGCAATTCACCTGCTGCCAACCTCTCGTATACCTCTGTGTTATACTTTCCGGCACAACACCGTGTACCCGATTATTGGGAATGAGCAAGTCATTCGGCGTCAGTGCCGGCTTGTCGAAATAGTTGGTTTGATTGGGCACAATAGGGCGTCCATTCATTACCCGTTCTGCTTCCGTAAGAAACGTTACTAGTTCTTCGTCGTTCACACTCTGCTCATTTACTGTCGACCTTAGTATCCGCCTTACGGAACGTATGAGACGTTCCCATACTCCGCCTCTATGGCTGCTCAACGGTGGAGTGAACTGCCACTCGACGTTATACCGCATTAGTTCAGCGCTGATGCGGGAATGTGAAAGTCGATCTATGGCTCGTTTCAATTCCATCTCCGCCCCGACGAAATTAGAACCGTTATCACTGATAATCTTTTCTGGGGCTCCCCTTCGTGCTATAAAACGCATCAGCGCCTTAATGAAGGAGTCAGAAGATAACGAATGGGCCATTTCAAGGTGCACTGCCCTCATCTGTAAGCAGGTAAACAAACAGCCATACCTTTTTTCAGTCTTTCTTCCATTCTTTACTGTCAGTGGTCCAAAATAGTCACACCCAACTATCTTGAAGGGATGCCAGCCTGGCTGGATCCTGTCGACCGGCAGTGGCGCCATAGCTTGTCGTGAAGCCGTTGTAAGGTTCCTTCGACACGTCCAGCAACTATGGAGCACCCGCTTAGTCATCGATACTCCCTGAACGACCCAATATCTTTGGCGCAGTTCGGCTAACGTATGTGATAGTCCACAATGCCCATTCAGCACGTGAGCGTTCCAAACTATCAACCTGGTGACGTTATGCTTCGGAGGTAGTATGATAGGATGTTTAGCAACATGCGGCCACAAAAGGTTATCCAACCTACCTCCTACACATAGCAAGCCATCTATCAATATCGGGCATAAGCGTATTAGTTTGTGGTTGCGTACGCTTCGTTCGTCAACCTTACCGGCGCGTTCTAATTTCAGCATGATTGCTGGGTATACCGTCTTCTGAACCATGCGAATGATATCACGCTCAGCTTGCCTCACTTCTGTGAGTTTCAATCCTCCAGTGTTCAGTGAGGATTCAGTTGAGCCGCTCGCCATCATTCTCAGGTATGTTTTAAACCTTGTCAACCATACCACAGATCGTACAAGTTTAGACCAATCGGAACACATTTCCATCAAACGATGCAACCCAGTTGATTCCGAAGCAGCGGTCACATTAACCGAAGCACGTTTCGTCTTCAATTCTATTCCTTCTGGTATGAAATTTGGTTCGTAGCGTGGCCACTGGGCCTCGGACGCTTCCAGAAAGGCCGGCCCCTCGAACCAGTATCGGAGAGCAGTCAAAGAACTTACTCCTCTAGAGGCCAAGTCTGCCGGATTGTCCTCACTCATTACGTGACGCCAATCACCGGGTGATGACAACTGATGAATCGTAGAGATTCTGTTTGCCACGAAGGTACTATAGCGAGTGGCAGTGTTCCGTATATAGTGAAGCACTATGGTTGAATCCGTCCAGTAAGTTGTTCTTGTGAACACAAATCCTGCTTCTTTCCGCAGTTCTTCCGCCACCCTTGCGGCTAGTCGCGCAGCATTCAGCTCAAGCCTCGGCACTGTTACAGATTTCAAAGGTGCCACTCTAGACTTGGCGTATATCAGCATGCACGTGAATTTCTCGGGTTCGATGCACCAGCGACAATACCCAACCACACCATACCCCACTTCGGAGGCGTCACTGAACATATGCAAGTCCACACTTGCATCATAAATATGGACAGGTTTCACGCAACGGGGTATTTTCAGTTCTCCAATCGATCTCATACTCTCCAACCACATCTTCCACTCCTCTGAGTCTTCATCGCTCAGTTTTTCATCCCAATGTAATTGCTTCTTACACAGCTTTTGTAACAGTATTTTTGCTGGCAAAAGCAAAGGGGCTACCAAACCCAAGGGATCAAACAGGGAGGAGATCGAAGACAGTATTCCCCGTCGAGTGAGCGGTCGATCGGGAAAAACAAAGGTGAAGCGAAATTCATCCGCTTTAGCATCCCATTGTAAGCCCAACGTCCTTTCGACTGTCTGAAAAGCTTCAATGGAAAGCACCGATGACGAAACATCCGACTCACACACCTCACTCAAGAGAGATTCTCTGTTGCATATCCATCTTCTTAAGTGGAAACCGCCCTTTGATAAAACTCCACTTAGCTCACGCACAAATCTTTGAGCCACGCTCACATCCGGAAGTGATGCTAAACAATCGTCAACGTAGAAATACCTATCCACTGATTGTTTCACCTCAGTCATGCAATGCAATCCCCAGTCTGAGATTGTCTTTCTCAAAGCAAAATTGGCACAAAATGGTGAGGACGTGGCGCCAAACGGATGAGATGTCATTCGGAATTGCTTGGGTTCACCGGTCAAGTCTTCCGAGTCCCACCATAACACACGTAATGCACCCCTGTCGCAGTCGGGAACCTTTACTTGCATGAACATTTCAGAAATGTCTGCAGCCACAGCTACATAATCACTCCGGAAGCGCAAGAGAACTCCCAACAAATTCGCAGTAGTGTCGGGACCTTGATACAATCTATCGTTCAGGGATACACCCTCAAACTTGGCAGCGCAATCTAAGACGACTCGCAGCTTTTGTGGTTTCTTCGGGTTCAAAACGGGGTGATGAGGTAGATACCACTTCCTTTCGTCCCCTGATTTAGATTGATGAGTGGGTACAGGTTCGAGGTAGCCCTTAATGATGCTATCGTTCATGCGTTCTCTGTATCGCGCTAACAAAGTCAGATCCTTTGCAAAACGCCTCCTCATATATTGCAATCGAGAGTGGGCTAGACGATAATTGTCAGGAAGTCTTTCAGCCGTTCTCCACGGCAATGGTACTTCGTAATGACCATCCTTGTACACTGAAGACTCTTCAACGATTCGAAGCGCTTCTTTGTCTTCAACACTTTGGCATACGCCCGGAGTCTCTAAGTCATTGAAATCAGCCTCATACAGAGCTTTTAGATGAGCAGTGATGTCATCATCTTTCGTACTTACATGGTGCACATGTCTCCAGACTCTATGTCCTATAGACAACGGACCAAGTAGAACCCAACCCAAAGGTGTCTTTACAGCGTAGGGTTCCTTCTGCTTGCCCAACCTTTTCTCCATAGGCCAGTGTGCCTCTGGAACGTCTTCTCCTATCAATATTCTCACACGCTTATCTGGAAGCTCCACAAAGGTAGTGTCCTTCAAATGATCATATTGGCTAGCTACCTTCGTTGGGCTCATGACCGGTGGGCTGATGGGCAGAGAGCGTATTGCAAAGGCTTGTTCAGTCACTACGGTCTCACCTGAATCTGCCGATTCAAACTCAATTCTGAGACTTGCAGCCTCCACAGTGGAGGTCCCACTCACTGTCGATAAATTCAAGGTTGTTGGAGTGCCAGTCAGACCAACCTCATCAAGTAAGTCTTTCCTTACCAATGTTACGTCCGACCCACTATCCAACAATGCGTACGTGAGAACGCTGCCTTGCGGACCATTCACTCGAACCGGTACGACGCCAAGGCAGGTTCCTGTTTCCGTCTGAGATGTCGAGTTGCACAAACCAACCAAAGTGGTTTTGTTGGCATCTGGCACTACATGCAACAGATGATGGTGAGACCCCAAGCAGCTCTCTATACCACACTTCTTAGGAGAATCGCACTCGTTACTGGCATGGCCTGGTTTTAGGCATACAAAACATAACCGCTTCCTTCTCACCATACGCCATCTTGCTTGCATTGGCAAGTCAGTGAACCTACGACATTGCACCAGTCCATGTCTTTCGTTACAAAAAGGGCACGAGTCATCGGTTCCCTTATGAAGGGCGAATACACTATGGCGCCTTCCATTGCCTACCCGATGATGCTGCGTTTGAGGACGATTGTGTTCTGAGCCTATGGTAAGCATACCATAGCGGCTGCGAGCAATGCGGGCCTCTTGAGCAACGAAGTTGCATAGGTCAGAGAAACCTATCTGTTTTCCAAGGTTGTCCATAGAGTCAGCCAACCTTGCCCAGTTTCGACGAGCATCCTTCGATAACGTACGGAGAATGCGCTCTATGGTCGAGACCGAATTCATGTCACTAGTATGATTCATCTGACTCAGAGCAACGTGACAGTTTTGAAGATTTATGGACAAACGAGACAATGAATCTGCATCGTCATGCAACGGTTTCAATTTCTTGAACAGATCGTCCAGTATGGCTCTGGCCACCATATGTTCTCTCCCAAAGAGATCCTTAAGTATTTCCCTCGCTCTACTGTAAGCAATCTCGGGAGGCAACATTACGCATTCAGCCACGGCTTCCTTCGCAGGACCTCTGCAGTAATGAATCAAATATAGCATCCTCTGTCCACTATCTTGCACTCTATCCTCTATGTAGTATTTGAACTGTTGAATAAATCTCCAATAGCACCTTGGGTTGCCATCGAAGGCCTCTAAGTCCACTCTAGGTAGGTCTGCCTTAACCACGCAAGAAGTCGGTTGGACCGCTGGTGCCTCACATATGGGTGTGCTACTTACCATCCCGGCTAGGTAATCCTTTACCTTATCCTGCGGGTCAACCTGCACGTCAACGACGGAATCATCGTCCGAATCCAGCTCTAACTCCGCTAGACGCACCTCATTACGCGCCCGCATAAGCTGCAATTCTTTCTCCATTTCCTCTGCCTTAATCTGCGCTCGCAAAAGCGCAACCGACTTTATTTTCCTATGCTTAGTTGAGTCAGAGCCAGGAGATGAACCAATAGCTAAAGGATTGCCAGAACGGCCGACTTGCCTCGATTCCTCCGGTAGATAGAGATCCATTGACGGGGCTTTCTCCATCTTCTCCGAGTTCGTAGACCGTGGAGTACTGGATCCGTACACCGTTAAGTACTGTGCCCGTAGAGCACCGTTGAGTACTGGAACTGTTGAGTACTGTTACGGCTATCTGCTTTCTGAGTTTGAGTCACGCGTGCCAATCCAGGAAAACGACCAAGAAATCCGAATTCTGGAATCACGGTACTATTGCAAACACAATAATATACATATTCAACAAACCTCAACGGATTCTCCTCTGCAGATACCGTAGGGTTACAAAAATAAGGCGGTACAATTACCAGCCTGAGGATAAAGCGCAGATCACTACGCCTCAAAATCGATATCGTCACAACCAAACAGATATCGACGGCGAGCAACCGCAAAATCACAATGTCCGACCAAAGTACGTAAGAGTTATAAAAATAGTTCAGTAAAACAAGAAGGTTTCAGTTCATCTGGTCAAGGGGAATAAATGTGGGGATTGGCTGTCACTTGGGGTTGGAAAGTGAGCACACTGTTAGCAAGCTGTCTTCTTCACCGCCACCCAAAATGCCAGTGTATTTTCCTCCATCAAGCTATGGTCATTCCTGGCTCAAATATTTTACTTACCCCAAATTTCGAGTGGACTTACAGCAGTACGCCAAACGGAACTTGCTCACGCGCCAACTCTCAGTGGTCCCTCTGTATGCGATGAGATTGAAAACCTATCTCCCACCTGCGGAGAGTTGAGCGCACCGTTCCCGTCCCCTTCCACCACCCCTACTCACAACTCCCTATCAAACCGATCTTACGCACATCTCTTTTAAGCCTACCATCTCGTGTGCGTACAATTACAGTCCTAACTAAACCGTCGCCTGACGTTCCAAATTCATCAATCACACCTACGGGCCACTGTTTCCGAGAGAACGTACCTGATTGCACCAGGACTACATCCCGTTCCCTGAAGTTCCTTTGAGGTTTCTGCCACTTAGTTCGCTC